CACTAGTGCTGTACTAGTATACTACACTATACACTAGTGCTGTATTAGTATACTACACTATACACACTATACAGTAGTGCTGTACTAGTATACTACACTATACACTAGTGCTGTACTAGTATACTACACTATACACTACACTATACACTAGTGCTGTACTAGTATACTACACTATACACTACACTATACACTAGTGCTGTACTAGTATACTACACTATACATTAGTGCTGTACTAGTATACTACACTATACACTACACTATACACTAGTGCTGTACTAGTATGCTACACTATACACTACACTATACACTAGTGCTGTACTAGTATGCTACACTATACACTACACTATACACTAGTGCTGTACTAGTATACTACACTATACACTACACTATACACTAGTGCTGTATTAGTATGCTACACTATACACTACACTATACACTAGTGCTGTACTAGTATACTAAACTATACACTACACTATACACTAGTGCTGTACAAGTATACTACACTATACACTACACTATACACTAGTGCTGTACTAGTATACTACACTATACACTACACTATACACTAGTGCTGCACTAGTATGCTACACTAGTATGCTACACTATACACTACACTATACACTAGTGCTGTACTAGTATACTAAACTATACATTAGTGCTGTACTAGTATACTACACTATACACTACACTATACACTAGTGCTGTACTAGTATGCTACACTATACACTACACTATACACTAGTGCTGTACTAGTATGCTACACTATACACTACACTATACACTAGTGCTGTACTAGTATACTACACTATACACTAGTGCTGTACTAGTATACTACACTATACACTACACTATACACTAGTGCTGTACTAGTATGCTACACTATACACTAGTGCTGTACCAGTATACTAAACTATACACTACACTATACACTAGTGCTGTACAAGTATACTACACTATACACTAGTGCTGTACTAGTATACTACACTATACACTACACTATACACTAGTGCTGTACTAGTATACTACACTATACACTAGTGCTGTACTAGTATACTACACTATACACTACACTAGTGCTGTACTAGTATACTACACTATACACTACACTATACACTAGTGCTGTACTAGTATACTACACTATACACTAGTGCTGTACTAGTATACTACACTATACACTAGTGCTGTACTGGTATACTACACTATACACTACACTATACACTAGTGCTGTACTAGTATACTACACTATACACTACACTATACACTAGTGCTGTACTAGTATACTACACTATACAATAGTGCTGTACTAGTATACTACACTAGTGCTGTACTAGTATACTACACTATACACTACACTATACACTAGTGCTGTACTAGTATACTACACTATACACTAGTGCTGTACTAGTATACTACACTATACACTAGTGCTGTACTAGTATACTACACTATACACTACACTATACGCTAGTGCTGTACTAGTATACTACACTATACACTAGTGCTGTACTAGTATACTACACTATACACTACACTATACACCAGTGCTGTACTAGTATGCTACACTATACACTAGTGCTGTACTAGTATACTACACTATACACTACACTATACACTAGTGCTGTACTAGTGACGAATTGGCCACGTTCTGTTTACGTGACAACCCTTACTAGTTGGCTGTGTCGGGTGGTGGCGGGTTTTAACGACACAACATTTATATATTTAAGCGATCTAACCCAAAAAAACCTGTCACAACAGAAGTGTGAACTGTAGTTTTAAAGACAATGCATATATTATGTTTGCATGTTTTGCCACAGATACGTGTGCTTAATGCAGACTTGACGCCTTTCAAAATGCATCTACAGTATGTTATGTTTGAACATCTTAAACGCCTCCTGTTTCATTGCCAGAAAGGTGAAACCCCCATTGTTTTTCATAATTCTGATCATGGCTAAAAAAAGTTCCCGTAGATATGCACACTCCATTTTACTGTATCAACTCGGCCGTCTTGCAATCAAATCCATAGCCACAACAGCCACCACTTCGCCTGTGTCAGGCTAGGTGCACCTTGTGGCCGTCACGTGAAGTGTCGGTAGGCTCGCCGGCAAGCTAAAAGGCAAACCTGTCAACCCCCTTAACAGTGCCCATATCTTATTCCAGACCGATTAAGACCTTACTGGTCATCCAGTGGCCTTTTTAAAATAATCAACGCTCACCCCACAAAGTCCCATCGCGAGGGAGAATCACACGACACGCATTTACTATTCACACGGCTCTTACAGCCCTTACGGGGGCCCGAAAACTCACAATTTCCCCGCACAGGAATACGCCTAAACCCCCCTATGGGTTGACGGGTACGGGCAGGGGATCTCGAGGGTGTTTGTTGGCCGACGCTTCAAGACGAACACAACACGAGCGGCGCATTCGACTCGAAATCTGCATCTCACGCGAACTGACCCAGCGCGAGTAGTGAAGTATGGTCAAAGCGAATCTCCCATGAGCGACCAGGCGTGCTCATAGGTGAAGGAGGCGTCAATCGGCAGTGGCTTGTAAATGATGAACACGAACGCGGCAAGGTTTAAAGCCTGCTGCGGCAATGTGAAAATGCAAATAGTGGTCGCACTGTAACCACGTGGGTGGCCGTGGGCGCGCCGTGATGACGTGGCCCGTAGGGTTCATAGTTCATAGTTTCATTTATTTTGGTATAGCCCCTGTGAGCCATTCGGCTCTTGAATCGGGTGCAACCGCAACAAACAAACAACATGAACAAGAAAACATCATAAAGTGATTATGTGACTGTGCAAACATAAAATACAGGGAAAAAACATCAACATATTCCTGAAATAGCACCGTACACCAACGCTGTGTGCAAAAAAAAATCCCAGTGGGATGCAAGTTAATAACAACAACGACAAGACAACTAAGATTAAGGGTGAATCGCAACGTGGATTTGGTTTAACACGGGAGGAGTGATCCACGTACTCTTTGGTTTTTTCGGTAAAGTCGCGTAGGTATAAAATAAATATAAATAACTAGAGAGTATGGATTCCTGCAGTCACGATAGCGTCAAATCGAGATACGGAACAGAGGGCTTTCGCGACCAATATAAACAATACGAGGGGGGGGGGGGGGGGTTTGGGTATAGATCGCGTAAATAAACAATGTTGTTAAACAGCCAATTAGTAAGGTTTTTCCACGGGAACAAAATATGCCAATTGGTTACTTGTTACAGCACACCGGTGTGTTGGAGAGTCAACCCACAACAGCGTGTAAACCCAACATGTACATTTTGTGGGTTTACTCGCACAGCGTTGGTGTACGGTGCTTTTACAGGAATATTTTGATGTGTTTTTTTCCCTGGATTTTGCACAGTCACACATAGTCACTTTAAGATGCTTTCTTGTTCTTGATTTGTGTTTGTTGCGGTTGCACCCGTATCAAGGGCCGAATGGCTCACAGGGCTATACCAAATAAATGAAACTGAAAACTAAAACCCAACACACCGGTGTGCTGTACTCGTAACGCATTGGCACGTTTTCTTTACTGACGAAACCTTGCTAAATTGGCTGTGTCGGGTGGTGGAGGGTTTAACGACACATTCACATTTAGGCGAAGTAACCCCCCCCCCCCAAAAAAAACCCCTCGATTATGGAAAACTCAATTTGCTTGATATATTTTAACGTATATTAAATTATAAGCGGGTTATGTCCACATAGTCTTTTAAAAAATATTTATTATCACAACAAAAGCAGTCAAGGCACAAATGCTTCCACATCCACCAGTTCATCTTCAAAGTAATGTTTCTAAAATGTCAAATGGAAAAATGATACCAATGCATCGACAAAACTTAAAACAGCATGTATAAAAAAAAATTATTTAAAAAAATATGAATAGCATATATACAGTACAATTGTACCGGTTTGTAAAGATACACACGTGCACATGCATGTTTTTTTCATATTTCGGTGAACTATTTAATGTATACGTTACTTTAGCAGCGTTATACATTTTCATCCCAACGCTTGTTGTGAATACGGACAACCAATTTTCAGAAATGCAAAACGAAAACTGCAATTCATATTATTTAGCTGCTGATATAAATTTCCACAAGATAAGCCACTTCGTAGAGCTATAATTTGTTGGCCAGGTCGCTTCTGTAAAATAACTAATCGCTCAGTTCGCTTTACCTGGTAAAATTTTACTAGTTTTGTTTATTTACAACATTTGAGTAATTTGCTTACCTTTCCTATACTTTATACTATAATTGTGTTGGATTGTTTGCTGTTGCAACGTTCTGAATCCGCCCAGATTGTACATATGTGAAATAGCTTAATAGCTCATCGGATTTGCCCAGGATAAATAAATGATTGTGAAAATGACAATGTAGCCCGTGGAAATTAATAGTTTTAAAATAAATGAGCAATTTTATTTTCTTTCTCAAGTACCCATTTTTTTAAATATATAGCTGGTGGATGTTTGCGTACTGTCAATCGCAAAACATAAAAACATCAACACAACCAATTCAAGATTGTGTTCCAAAGATCATCTCGGAAATAAAGTATCAGTGCTGTTTAGCACGATGTACAACGTTTCGCACCACGTGCTCGGGAATTCTTCAGGAACTGAACTCGGGAATTCTTCAGGAACTGAACTCGGGAATAGAACTTAGGTGGGTCGACATGTCCGGACATCGTTCCGAACACCACTCCCATGGCACAACGCAAAGAGCAACGGAGAGCTGTACAAAACCGCGAAAAGCTGCACATTATCTTATGATGCATTTAGAAAAAAATTGTGTGCTACGAGAATTTATCACAATAGGAAGAGTCTTAATGAATGCAATACAAAATGTTTCATGCAAAGAAGGTTATTCACCAGACGCGTGACCTAAACACTGGCATGCCATTGTTTGGGAGATGCATTAAAAAAATGAAATCTGCAAACACAATATGAAGTGAACCATACTAATAAAGTGCCGAGCTCCATGTAAGCTGCAATTTTTCAGACGTTAAATCTTTCAAATTTGATGGTAAATATTTAAAGACGAGCACAAACAAGTACAATCCACACCTGTAGTCACGTTATTAATGTGTAAATATTTCCCTTTTGTCAAACCAATGCTGGATGAGGGCCTCCCCATGCGAGTCGTGGGGGTTGACCATACTTCGCCACGCTGATCAGTACGGATTGAAGGGAGGGGGGGCATGGTCAAGTGAGCAGAGTAGTTTCGTAATGGCCTAGATCACCTTGTTTTGCATGTTTTATATCGGTGGTATGCATGGTAATCCATCCAAGCACTTTACTAATTCACCAATTAGAAATTATTTTTATTTTGTAAAATTTCATGGGTTTGTTTTAAGATGTCCAGGTGATTCCTGCTTGGAACGTTGAACAATTATTTTTGTCATCAGTGAAACCATATAATTTGTACAAAAGCCACAGTTAAAATAGCACGCACAAAACTGAACATAGATTAGAAACAGACTTCCTCATTGCCTACAATAATCAACTCACGAATCAGATTGGTCATGGTTCTTCAACTGGATGGCCAGCAGACCAGAGGTGGTTCGCAAAGGCTCTTGAACCCTTTTTCAGTGGCACATCCGAGCCAAGCAGGCGTGGAGCCCTCGAGGTACAGGTGGCTTTCGAATGGATTTTCCGTGTCAGGCTGAAATCAAACCACAACACGCTGACCTCACAAGATAACCGATTCTAGCTCGGGGCCAAAGCAAGGGCAGGGGTGGGGATGATGCCGTTCATTTGGCACACGACATCAGTCAGTCGGTGCACTGTAAGGACACGCCACTTCGACATGCCTCACGTTTCGCTCAATGCGTTTGACGGCAATGGCACGGCTTGACTTATGCAGTGGAAACGCAACCTGTCACCTCCTCAGCTGTGCGCGCGCAGGTTCGAAATAGTTCCGGCGCACCTCGATTGTACGGTGGAAAAAAACCAGGCATTGGGAGAGAGTGGCATGGTGAGCAATGGACCCAATGAAAGATATGACTCGCATTACACAAAAGTGAAACAGATAAGAGAGATGAAAGAAAGATTAACAAGAAATAGAGATGGGAGAAGTGCAGACAAGCGATGAATATTATTGAGCTGGAGATGAACGCAAGACAACCAAAAGACAGATGAAAGACCCGGAGACAGGAGGTAGAGTGACCAAATGTATGAGTTATGACGTGACATAAGTATACGTGACATACGGAGTCACGTGACCCGCCAGCATATGCCAAACTTGTTACAGCCAGTCAGAATTTATTGTTTGAAGAACCGACATAGGTGATCTGCCTGTCCAGCCTAATTGCACCAACACAAACCACATACAGTACAACTGAAAATGCTCAAATCCAACAAAGACCACTTAGTTCCAGAACATGCATTATAGCAGAGCTGAATAGATTTACAGGCTCTTCAGTTCACTGCTTGGGGAACCTTTGGATTTCATCACCTATTTCAGTGATATTGATTATTGTAAAGCACCATCACGGGAAGGCTTTCAATCTTGGAATCATCAGAGCAGCACTGGAGATTGTTTTGATGAGACCAATGCACAGATTATACAGAAAAGCCTTAAATGTCCTGCGTTTACTTGCATGACATAATTATTAAACATTAGACTCAAACTGTTAATTCGCATGCAAATTATCTTAACTGCTGCTACAAATCTTCAACAACAAATTAAATGCCACAACCAAATTATGAAGCTTAAAACGCAAAGTTGGAGTGCCTTGAGCACGAGTTCGTGAAAATCATGAATTTTTTTTACATTTTGGCTTTGCTAACGGTACTTTTATTGCTTACAAAAAACGACTACGTAAAAACGTCACGTGGACACACGGGGTGCGAACTGCACAACGGAATGGAGGCATGAGCAATACTTTATGCGATGCAACGCTCTACTCAACATGTTGTGGTACGGAATTGTTGACAAGACTCTAAAAGTTAGTATTTTGAGCCAAGAAAGCGCGAATCCTCTGCAGCAGCTCCTTCTTGACATTGTCTGGCACCAACGCTAGGTAAATCAACGGGAAAAAGAGGTTCACGTTACGAACATTGTAATTAACGTGCACATCTGCAACGTATAAAAATCACATTTGACAAGTCTGTTTTTAATGGAATGATTATTTACATGACTGAAAAGCTCCACAATTAGAAGGGTACAAAAAAAGGAGAAATTAATACAAAATATCACATGCTAACCATGCAAGACAGCTTGAAAAATGTTTTCCCTGTTCAAGATCGTCCATAAGTTGCTTTAGTTTGGCTTTTGTAGAATTTGGAATTTACAATGAATTTTAAGGATCCTAAGTGTGGTCTGGTGTGACTATTACGATATTATTATTCACGGCCTCATGTCAGTGTGCAAACATCACCTTTCCACAGTGTTCCTAACCTCTCATACATTTGCTCAATTCTGAAGCACACTAAAGCATTTTCCCATGTTTTCAGCAGTCTGTGCTTTTAAATGTCCAGCATCCCTCATTTTCTGCACATGCTCACATTAGGGGACCCTCAGCCCCCAGTGAGTCAGGTATACGACATTGTACTGTACTACCAGAATGCAGATTTAGCACAAACCTCGGCCTTTTGGTGTGATTTCTGAAATTAAGTCCTCCACTGTCACATGTTCAAGTCCCTTGTCTCGAATGACATCTGTAAAGGTTACAAAAAAGTTTACCAATACTTTTCATAACAATACTGAGGCACCGTTGAAGAATGTTTATTGGTAAAAAAAACGATTCCCTGTATACATTTAAGCTGATGTAAAAACGCTTGTGTGGAGTATTAGTGCAGTGGTTAACGCACTGCATAATGAGTCCCAGAGTTTGACCCCTGGTCATGGTTACCGCCAGTGGCTTTGCCAAGCTGCATTGGCCAGCATGAAGTATGGTCAAACAATCCACATGACCATAACAATATGGGGAGGGTCCTCATCCAGCAATGGATGGACAAAATGGCTCTACATGTACATGGAGAGATGTACGGTAATGTTAAAGTGGCATTAAAAAAGAGTAAAGTTTGTCTAAAATGTCTTGTTTAGCTTGGCCACTTTTACATCGAATATTTACAGGGCTTGTATTGTTACAGTACAATTTGGATTTTTTTTTAATAGAATTTCAACACCACTGCATTTCAAGATACTTTACAAAACAGTCGAACGTGTCTTTCAGAAGAACGGGGAGACTTTAATATATTTTGCCTGACATGTTTTGTTTCATGCAGCCACTTGTGCACTGCATCCTTAAGAGGCTTTCGATTTTCTTATAAATTGCCCTTTTTTGTAAGTATCACATCTTTTTGGAGCTAATCTGTTAACTTGTTTTTGCATAGCTGTTGTAGTTTTTTTGTTCACTAATGCTTTCGATCGTTTTACTCAACACATCACTCATAACTGTGGGCAGGTTGTGTCTATTTTTTTTATCGACTTTAATATCCCACTAGAGCCATGAAAAGTTAGGATTAATTTAAATTAATACGGCACACATCGTAAAGATTTTAGTGTTATAAGAACACAACAATGCTGCCCTTTAGTGGTGTGTTTTAAAATATGATTCGACTTGGGAAATGTGAGATTTTAATGAAGGCCATATTACACCAACAACAAAGCAAACATTCTCAAGTAGTAAAACAGTGGCAATCCCTGATTTCATGTAAATCTGTACAAGGGTATGCGTGGCCAAACTGCAGCTCCCAGATAGATCAAGTGCGGCTCTATTGAGAAACAGTTCAATTTTAACAACGCGTTATTTGTAACAGGAAACATTGTCGGAAGTGGGAGTTGCCCAGGGAATTCTCCCCTGGCAAGCGGGACCAGGAGAGAGTCATCCCGGTGAGCTCCCGTCGTGCAGCACGAGTGAACCAGCCGTGTGACCACCGGCTGTCGTTCATGGCTCACGGCCATATGCATATTTGGGAATGGGGTTCATACGGTGAGCAAGTATGACCATCTTTGCCATATATTACATACTTCTGTTTACCTTTTTCAAGCAAAATAATATTTATTTAAATGTTGGACTGTCACTCCTGTAATCTATAAAAATAAGATACTGCTTATATGTATATGATGTGATTAGAAACATGTGAATCGTGGCTCTACAGCACTTAGAACAGCTGTAGAAATTACCCAGACGTGGTTAAAGTTTGGTTATACACTTGCCAAACCCACCGATGTAAGCAGTGGGATGAAAAATATAAACCCTCCTATCGCGTGCTGATTTTCAAAGCACATTACTTCAATGCTCCCACGTTCCTCAATCCAGACTGACCATCATGGTGAAATATCTGAATATAAAACCCTTGACCTGCAAAGCATGCGGTAAATTGATATAGGGCTGTACATGTATAAAATTACGTGCAAACCTTTGCAGTGAGCCCGCAACTGATCTTTCCAGCCACACTCCATCAGCCTCGTTTTCAGAAGCTCCTTCAAACTGCCCACACACATACAAACAATGCATAATAATTGAAGGTATTAAAATCAAATAATTTATTTCTTAAGGATGCCACTGTGGTGTAATGGTTACCACACTTGATTGGCAACCGAGAGGTCGCTGGTTTGATTAAATCTCCCAGGAGGGTAGTTAAATATTGGGTACACAACAGTCGATAGGCAGGTGATGTGGTGAAAGTATAAAATGTGGGTACTCCCACTCTTCCTAAATGTCTGGCCACCATGGAAGATTGTGCCAAATATCCTCTAGAAGGATTCTTGTCGAGCTCCGTCTAGCGGAAGCCCTTCTGTCATAAGTCGTGTGAGAAAAGCAATAATTGTGGAGTTGCATGTTTACTCTTTGCCAAGTTTCTGCTGATCTTACCGTTCCCTTTCTCCAGTCTCTATGAGCTTTTGATTTATGGCTGCCCTCATCTGAGCATCTTTGCCCAACTTGCGATCTGAGAAACTGTAGACACGCATAACAGTAGCATGCAATTAGGATTTGCGTAACACACACCTCATTAATATTAATGCACACATTCTGTAAACCACAGCAGGCCTTTTGTATATTCTGTATTGAGGGTTTTCTTCTCTTACAATCTTCCCATCAGTCTTCCCTACTCAACAATTTCAGTCGCTCTGCTCAATTGTGTACAGTGGTTTGCCTCAACCCAGTTGGTGGCAATTCCTCGTTCTCATGGCAGGGACCGATTGATCCACGGCATGACCACTTTTGAATCATCGCGATGCTACTCGTGCTATGACCCCAGAGATGAATTATCCGAGGTAAAAACCTCACATCAGTGTGGCAAGTTAAGTCTATCCATAGCACACCAGCATTGAAACGTTAAACTGCAGGTAAGAGTGACGGATTATTGTCGCAAAAGTGGCAGCAGCAGCAAGCTTACGACGTTCACATTGTATGTGTTTTAATAGTTAGATGTGAAGATTGTATTACTCAGATTGTTACAAAAAATATATAGATTGATTTAAACCAGACTCTGCGCCTCGACTAGCGCGGTCATGCGCCACAGCCCCTGGCATTATGAACCCCTCCGCGTCCTGTAATCGACTAAATCAAAACATCTTTTCAGTTCGCAATAAACACGTAACAAAAATTGTTAACCAAAGGACACCGAAGTGAGAGAAAAAGAATCAAGAGATGAGCGCGCATAAGAAAAAGTGTTAATGTTTAATAACGCCAGTTGCCGCCGGTAACAGAAACACTTACTCGGCCATGACGGGAACGGTGGCCGAGGAGCGCGCAGGCTTCAATTGCGAAACGCGTTTCACGTGCGCCCGAATCGGATCGGGCGGCCAATACCGACACGATAATCACCCAGGAACGTCATTAACGCTCGTGACGTCAGCCCCCTCCCCCCCCCCCCCTAATTAATATTCATTAGCGGGTGCCGTTCTCAAAATGGACACCCCACCCCGACCCCTTCCTCATTAATATTCATGCACGGATGAGGTCACTGCACAAACAGAAATGTGGTAGCGGAAACTTTAATTTGTTTATGCACAATTGATTTAAAGCTTTCGTGACTGCAGGGATCAATATTATTGATTCTTTCGTAAAAGTCACGTAGAAGGGAAACAATAAAATAATACAAATATAAAACAATAAAATTACGTGACTTTACCGAAAGATATTCTTGGTTCTTTCGGTGAAGTGACGTAGAAGGGAAACAATAAAAAATAAAAATATAAAACAATAAAATTACGTGACTTTACCGAAAGATATTCTTGGTTCTTTCGGTGAAGTGACGTAGAAGGGAAACAATAAAATAATACAAATATAAAACAATAAAATCATCATCAGGTGTGAAAACCACAACAATAACTTTTTTTTTAAGCTTTAAATCAAAATTTACCGAAAGAACCAAGAATATGCACAATTGCTTGCACTTTTCCACTATTATAAAGAAATCTAAGCGTCACCTAATGTGACGTGCTAACAACGTCTCTGTGTGTGTGTCCCGCGCGTCACGTCACTTAACATGCGGCCCCGCCCCTCATGAATATTCATGTCGTCGCTGCGTTTCATTACTGCCATCACTGCAGTGCTGCAGTTTCATGGGGCCGTCCATAAATGACGTCACGCGATTTTGGACGATTTTTGACCCCGCCCCCCACCCACCCCGTCGTCACACGGCGTCACAAAAAGTCAGACCCCACCCCTCAAATATGACGTCACAAAGCTCTCGCCCCTCCTCCCCCCCAAATTTGTTTTAAACATGCTTCAAGTTGCTTTAAACTATTGTCATTGTAGTGCGTATTTAATGTGACGCTGCACTCCGATGTTGTAGGAGAAAACATTTATATAAAAAAGTGTATTTAATGAAGTAGAACGTGTTGTCTATATTTATTTAAAGTTGCCCATTTTGATGTGACGTCACATTTCTCACCCCCCCCCCCCCTTTGTCACACATCGTTACAAATGTCTGACGCTCCCCCACCCCCCTAGGAGCGTGACGTCATTTATGGACGGCCCCAATGCTGTGAAGTGTTCTATGCCTTCCTTTTGTGCTACATAAACTCACATTAATACAGTGCTACAGTTACATGCAGTACGGGTCTTTATGACATTTTTTGGGGCAATATTCCCCGACATTACATTCAACTAATTAACCATCGTTAACGACTGACGTCACTCCGCAAGGAGAAAATTGAACATTTGTTTCGGCACAAATGACAATTTTTTAACGTCCATTGTCCCCTCTTTGTCTAGAGCTAACCAGACTGCCAAACAATTATTTACCCAAGAATGTCGGTGTGTAACGCGCGTGACGTCACTCCACGTCGACCAGCCCCTCTCATTAATAATCATGAGCAGGTGACGTCACTCCACATCGCACAGCCCCGCTCATTAATAATCATGAAGTGGTGACGTCTTCCAAATGTACACCCCCCCCTCATTAATATTCATTAGTGGGTGACGTCACTCCACATGGCGCCTCCTCCCCCCTCCTCGGCGTCAACTGACAACCCTCACTACAAAAGCAGAACCCTCACGTCACGTGATCCCGTCACGCTGTTGAGACATCAAAGTAAAAAGGACGTCATGATGAACAAGGGATTATAACCTTTAAATGAAATAGGTCTGTGTCACCGCGGCAGCTTTTCGCTTGCAAGTTTCAGATCTACTGCAATACACCCCGTCCTGGGACGGGCAAAAGGCTAGTGGTTAATATTGACCACGGCCGGTAATGGACATTCACTAATTATTCGTTCTGTTGTCCCATTCTATTCAGGGATTGTTTTCTCGGGGAATATTTGTCCGGAGCGCTCCAACTCCCCACATCCCTGGACCTCTGCACCCCAGACAGATGGGGGGAAGGTATTTTCCGGATCTCAGCCTTGAACAGCTCCCGCTGAAATGAATCCCTGGTTGAATCCATCCATGCATGATCGAACAGTTTAGTTTTGATTTTGGAAACGTGTTGCACATACCGTGAAGGTTCTGCAGTAATTTCCGGAAATAATTTTGCAACCGTTAACATCATGTTATTAGCACATACGAGATGGCTATTTATTTTTTAGTCAGGAAACCATCCACACTATTAATACAAGTGAGAGGGCTTAGGCAGAACACCTATGGCTCAATAGAATATGTCCCAGAGATGGGGCGATTAAATCAATCCGTGCGCGGTGCTGGGCGGACTGTTACATCGCAGCACCCTGAGATATGGTAAAGAACTTGGGGAGGCCTTCATCCAGCAGTGGATCGATCAGGGCTGATGCTTGCATTTTAATGCAGGCGACACACAAATGTACCGGGACTTGTGTGACGTCTCCCAAAGGACAACACAGAACGCAATTGCGTCCCCCTTGCCACTAGATGGGGGTAGCTAATTATCCGTGTAACTGCAATCCGTGAGCGATGTCTGTGCACTTGGACTGAGACCTCTGTCTGGGTTACCAACCAGCACATGGTCAGCGTGGTGAAGCAAGGCCGTAAGTATATAATATATTGGGGGGGGAGGGACGGACACACATCCCCTCCCCCAATATTCAAATATGCTCAAAATGTCCCCCCCCCCCCCAATATATTGCTATAAAATAGACTTCTGTTGATATGATTGTGGTTATGGTTGTACTTTATGAATCCATAATTTCTGCCATTACATACAATGAAACAAGAACATATTAAAAAAGTAAAAACTGAGCAATGTAATACAATACACCATTAGACATTATTGTAAAAAATAAAAGTCCATCCCATATGTTAGTGAAATTTTTGTATATTTTAGGCAGGAAATTCGTTTTCAAATTTCGATATTTTTCTAGGGGGGGACCCCCAGACCCCCTTGGAAGATTTGGTCCCCCCCAATGTTGACTCCATGGCTACGGCCTTGTGGTGAAGTATGGCCAAACAACGCTCGTCGCTGAGACGGCGTGGCACAGCTGTCGTGTAGCAGTTGACGAACACGCGGTATGTGCTTTGCTTAATGACTGTTGTGAATATTATCCAAAACAGGAATGTGATTAATGAGTCCGAACACTCAGGTTATGTAGTACAAACAAAATGTGAACACGTACGTTTGTAGTATATGGTTTTAATTAAAATATCACAATCACATTTAAAATATCGCTCACGAGTCATCGACACGATGTTCGCATTGTACAATACGTTGGCGACGTTACAGTGAAACAACGTAAATGGAAAAGTAAAATAGCGGAATATAACGCACGATTCGAGGAGTGGTGCGGTGATCAACGTAGTGATCTCGGGGGCCCGGTGCCCCGACGTCGAGAGAGTCACGTTCACGCAATGACTGTTAAATACATATTAAAATTATTAAATATTGTTTTTGGTTAAAAGCTTTCGTGACTGTAGGGATTCGTATTCTTGGTTCTTTCGGTAAAGTCACGTAGGAGGGAAACAAATAAAATAATACAAATATAAAACAATAAAATTCTCACGACATTTCGACTGCAACACAAGCAATCATCATCAGGTGTGAAAACCACAGCAAGAACATTTGAATAAAGTGGCGGTTATTTTTAACGTTAGCACTACGGAGAGCGATTTGACAGCTTGTTCAGATGGGCGAGTCCATCTATGTTCGGAAAAGACTTTACCGAAAGAACCAAGAATATAAACATTGTTTTATTTAAAAAAAATCCTTACAACTACAATTCATATTAATTAGATTTTTTAAACACAATTGTGTAATTTCGATTCAAAGTTTTGGAACCAATCGTATGGTCTGAGTCGACTCCATTTGGTACCGAAATTAAGAGTCGATTCGGTTCAGAAATGTATGTTTCCACGAGCAAAGCTGATCGTTGAGTTATACAGCTCTCTCTCTCTTTCCTTTTCAAGGGAGCCCACCCAGCATACAAAGTATCACACGTTACAACATCTACATGCTTTAAAATACACAATGAAAACAATATTGTCTTAAACATGAACATGTCCACATTCATCTACATTCACATGTTTATACTTGGTGATCTCAGCAGTGTCTGTGTACTGGAGTAACACACTTAGTGGTGATCCGAAGAGTAGACATCTGCAGGTGGTACTTGGTCCAACGTGCCGCCAGATTCTTCAGGAAATTACGATTTGGGTTCGACATGATGCGCGATCTTTCCATTCCACTTGCCGGAAGATTATTTGGGAATTCAGTTTCGCTTCACGTGTAGGGAACCACTTGAGAAATTCAGTTCCGTTCCTGAGCAAGTTCCCAGCACTTGGAGAGAAACGTCAGACATCATGCCAACCAGACATAGCACCAGAAAGCTGTACAGTACTGCACAACCAAGAAAAAAAAGGCCTACGCAGGTCCATCAGGTTTTGCCTCCGATCAGCCGTCATTTACGTTGCTCTCTCTTTTTTTTGCGAATGGAAGATTCTGCTCCCTTAAAAAATAAACCCCGTGGTGTTCCTGTTGCAGACACCAGCGTGCCCTCCTCTGCTGGGTCATTAACACCGTGCCGCTGCTAACTTGAGGTATTGGATATCTCTTTCACCTCGTACAATTCTCTCATTGGGAGAATTAAAAAAACACTTCACAGTTTTGTTAGCTTCGCTATTGTGTGTTCGCAAGTGAACGTATTGTTTCAAAGCTTTTCACGACTGGCAGTTTGTACAAATATAGGCTTACAGTTCGTGTGTAAGTTATTCAGTTATTCATTGCCCACCAAATATTTTAATTTGCCTCGCTAATTGTCCAAGAAAGTAGTGCTTTATTATGTTGACCCCTCTCTCACTCTCACATTCCGCTATAATTGCAAAGGGCACCAGGAGCATTGGTTATGATAATTGTGGTTCACCAATGCCGGGTAATGCGGCCCAACTTCTTCCTGATGAAACTTCAACATCTGCTCCGCCACATCATCATCACCATGTCCAGCCAT